TGATCGTTTCTAGAATGTTCTCTCTGGTACATTTGGACTGTCAGTTATTCGTCTAAAGACAACTGCAAGCATCAGAATATTGGTGTTAGTTGCAAAATGTTTGTGTACTCTGGCCATAAAAACAACTTTCAACATTACAGTGTTGATGTTTGCTGGGGTGATGTACTCTGGCCTTAATAATGCAGCAAGCAGAAACTGATATAGAGAGAAAAAAAAATGGTGAAATAAAGGAAACTATGAACAGATGAGAGGAAAAGTGAGAGCTTTATTGGGACTGAGAGAGCGGTACAGGGAAAGCTGGAGGATGTCGGGGAGTGGGAGGTAGGGGGGGTATTTGTGTAGCACTCATTAGCCATGCAGAGCGCTCTGGCCTCTCTCCCACACCTCCCGGCTTGTTCCAGCCTCAGCCGTAGCTGCCAGCACAGCGCCCTCCCTCCCTTCCCCAATCCCCTACAATCACGCCCGCAATCACAGCCTCAAATTAGGTTAATTAATTTGTATCAGCCCTTGTAGGGACTTGCCTGATGAGGCTGCCATCATAGCATTAGTGCTTGGACTCCTTGTAAAAAAAAAAAATAAAAAATACAAGTAATGAACAGGGGGAAAGTGTTGTCAATCTCAAAAAGACTTCTTTTCTGATTGGATGGGACCATAAAGTATTCAAGTGCACCCCCATCCCCACCCAGCCTTGAGCCTGCTTATCCATCGCCCTCTATCTGTGTTTTTTTCTAGGTCCTATAGTAATGTCCCTGGTGTGGATGTGACACCATTCAGCGACATGCAGGCAGAAAGAGGAGAGCGCGTGAAGAGGAGGGGTACAGAGGGAGACAGAGGCACCACATCACAATCAGCGAGAGCCGCTCATCAGGACACTGACGAACACACTCTGATTAACAGAGCGATCTGATTACAGCAATCACCGCCGCTACGACCAGTCCCAGAGATGGAGGGAGAGACAGACAGACAGACAGGTAGACAGACAGAGAGAGAGGAGAAAAAAGCTGGGAAGATAAAAAGCACAAAGAAAAAAAAAAAATTGTAAACAATCAAACCAGCAAACATTCAACAACCTTATATCATCCCAGACGGACTCCATGCAGTTGTTTATCCAGCTCCAATCAGGACCATATAGACAAAAAGTGAGTGTGGAAGCTGTAAGCTGGGAATGAGACAGAGACGCAGAGACAGACAGTGTCTACGCTGGGGGACAAGGACAGATTCGGTAGTTAAAGCATAATGAACACGTCCCCTGGGCGCGTGGCTGCCAGCAGGAGAGTGATGGACTAACTGTAATACCCAGGCAGATGGGTGAGCGCCACGCCCCGTCCCGTCCTCTCACCCATAGTGGGGCCCCCCTGCGTCAGGGGGAACGGAGGAGGAACAAGCTCGGCTGGGGAGGAGGCCTCACCGTGATTTAGACACCCATGCAAATTTAATCAATTCAAGTGCCTCTTTCCAAGCAGCCTCTTGGCTCATTAGTGGCAATTTAAAGGGGTTTCTGTGATCCCACCTCACTCTTTCTCACTCTCTCTCTCTCTCTCTCTCTCCCTCCCTCACACACACACAGAGTTGTAAAGATTTTCCTTCAGAACGTCTTCCCCCTGGCTTCGAAACAAACCCCCTCCTGGTCTCTCTGCAGTCGTTCTACTTCAAAAGCAGAGTGACACACCACACAGCGGCTAAAAGGGCCAGATATGAGGTGCTCGCTCTCAGAGCCAATGCTCCTTCACCCCTTTCTCTGCTGTAATTGGAGAATCGATTAGCACTGCTCTGAACCGCTCTGATGAAGGCAGTCTTTTGAGGCGCAGGAGAGGTGAGAAAGGTATAGGCCACTTTGCTCCAGTGGGCTCAGGTGCAGGAGCAACAACTGAGACCTTCATCCTCAGCAAGGCTGAAAGGAGGTCGTAACAGGGGAGCCAGCAAGGGCTGTGTTTGTGAACAAACCAACCTTGTATTAACTGACTACAAAAATAGCACTTCTTCATATATGCTGCATGTGGTTTCAAGAAAATCTCAGTTAATGACAAAGTAGAAAACAATCTGACATATAGTAGTATACTGCAGAATAAGCAATGCAACAGCTAGACAGGCTAAACATAATGTCACGGTCATAACAGAACCTCGCAGCTACCTTCACAGTCTTACATTACAGTCTTTCCTGTAATGTACATTAACGTAAGGGGCTTTTACTTGAGCATAATTCTGGACCATTTTACTGGCCCATTAATCAAGACATGTTCACAAGCCTTTGTTTTAACATAGTGTCCGAGAAAAAAAAGAAAAAAAGAAATTATGAGATTTTGATTTGACAGCACCAGTATGCCAGTAGCACTGGTTCATTCCACTACTGTCGTTCATTCCACTACATGAGAAGCAGCTTCAGCACAGGTGAGCCTAATTCAGTTAATTAACAACACTCATGATTACTTGATACGTTCATTACTGGGGGGGTTCAAGCTATCTAGTCTCAGAGAATAGATGGATGAGTAGACTTTCTATAAATACTACCTCACCTTTAGAGGAAAATCAAATCAACAGATTATTATTTTTATGTTTCTACATCATTAAAGGCAGCAGCTACACTTTATGTAGTGAAGGACAGAACATCTCTTTATATTAACTACTCATTAAAAGCCTCCACCTGTAAAACCATTTTGGGTGTACTTTTTTATGATATAATTATAACAAATATAACAAATCTTTTTTTTAATGCTCAAGAATACATTCCAAAAACTTAACAGCAAATACGCCTGCAAACTGATATTTAGAATATACCTATGCAAACTATAATTATATTGTTGCATATCACCATTGAGTCAGAATTAAACAAATAATATTATAGTATACTTATATTAAAGGAATATTAATACAGGAAAAAAGCAATATAATCTGAATATAACGTGCGATCATCAGTGTTGCCCAATATGTATATATATTTTTTTTCTTAATCAAAAACATGTTAATTTTAGCAGCTCAGGATACATTTTAGGGCAAAGACTTTTTTTTATGACAAAGTATCAAGGATTTCTTTTTCCCTAAGGACAACTGAGCCTGCACACATGCACCATCTTAGCCTAATGCTTGTCAGTTGTGACAAGGCCTATTAGCTTTGCTTCTACCAGCAGTCTACTTCTTTACTGATCTGCTACTTCCTTCAAAACCTCCACCCTGCAGCCCTCTGGATACACACTCGATTCGCACATCAGTGTGAATCCTGCCTGAACATCTCCCAAAACGATGAAACGTACTGAGGGGGTGGAATCTGGCTACACCTACAATCCCTGGGGGCTTGCTTAGGAACTTCCCTCTATGGCACAACCTCCTGTCCCACCTTTTAGCAGTATAAGTCATCCGTTGGTCAATATATATTGTTGGTCAATATATGAGTATATTATTCCACTAACTTAAATGCCATCATTACATAATATAAAAACAAACAATGACATTAAAGAACATGTATTACATCGGTGAAATAAAGAAAAAATAAAAAAAATTAAGTTACATCAGATTAGACCATCTTCCATGTATTTTCAGAGGCCACAGCTGCAACTGCACTCAAAGTCCTTAACAAATTTATGGCGTTTGCCTGGGGGCTTTAGGAAGCCTCTTACACAGCCGCCAACGAGCAGAATATTATGGAACAATAAGAGGATTCTGACCTATATCTTTAAAATCTGTGGGTCACCCTCAACACACCCCACTCTATGACCCCCTTTCATGACTCCCTGTTCTGAGTTGAAGTGAATAAAAGGCAGGCTTCAGTCAGAACAGTGAGCCAACTGTGTAACGGCAGGCGGAAGCATTGTAGAACTGCGCACAAGGCTCACTGACCCTCCTCCCATGCCTGCACTGACGTACACATGCACGGCCATAACCATCAGAGGCCATCCTATCTCTGGGTAGAAAACTGTGCAAACACACAAGGCCAATATCGATGCGTCACTGAGGGACTCTGTGTTAAATATCACTGTGGTTGTGACAATGTTGGCTGTCAATCATGCCACTTTGAACAGACATCCATTATTCTATTCAGATTAATGACTGTGACCAGTATGTCACATTGATACGAGCCATGTAAGTATTTACACTCTCAAAAATAAATCTGGCAAAACACATTCTTTGGAGTGATGCTAAAGAGGAACCACTTTTGGTTTTCTACAGAACCTTTCAGTTCATGGTTTCAGTGAAAGACACTGGGAACCAAAAATGATTCATCTATGGCATCACCCAAACAACCTTTGTTGGCACCTTGAAGAGCGTATTGCCACCATAGCTAATTCTTTATTTATTTGTATTTTAACATGGGGAGGCCAGCCAGTAGAATGTTCCATTCTGACACATGCATACCTTTGTGGCGGTCAGTTCTGGCAGTGATAGCGCCCTGGCCTGCTCCTCTCACCTCCGTCTCAGCATGGTGACATTTCCCTGTCGTTTGCTTGCCCCTCCCATCCATCCCAAGAGAGCCTGATGGATGGGGTCCGTTTATGAAGCTGCTGGCAGCAGCATGATCAATCAAGCTCTGCTGAGGAGAGTGGTCTAATTCTTAGGCCTGCAGCCTGCAAAGCAAGCCCAAGAGCATCCTAATACAGTCACTTCCAAAAAATTGCCTATTGGTGTTTTATACTTTGCTTCATCATATGACAGCCACATTCAAAATTGTCATGAAAAAAAAACAAACTCGGACACTAAAAACAAAATCACATGCTACACTATTACTATTCCTCCAAGAAATAAAGACTTACTAAACCAAAGGCCCCTTGGAATGAGCGTGCCCCGACCTTTTTAATTATGTAATTTGATAACCTTCAGATTTTGTACATATTTATCAATACATCTATAAAATTACAATTGTGATACAACCTCTAAGTAGTGGCTGTGTCACAATATATAGGCCTCTAACATAAGCTTAATCAAATATGCTTTTACACTGCTAAAATTTGCTTACACAGTTAATTTTCAGTTCATAAAGTTTCAGCACTTAACTCAAAGAAAAACGCAAGTATCATGAGAGATTTTAATTAAAAAGAGGGCTAGGAAAAATCCACCTATTTGGGATCAGTTAGTAAAAAGAATAAAAAAAAAAGAAAATTGCATCAAAATTTCAATAAATATCACTTGAGTTGCCTGTCACCTGATTGGGTCTGATCAGCTCCTCATACTTAACGTTAAGAAACTTAAAAATTCAGACTTCATTGTCCATGTCTCCAAGTCATGCCGTCCATGATACTCAGTAACTTGGATTTTGACAGGAGCAATAAAACTAGCCAAAAAAATGGACAAAGTTACCGTTTCTCATTTGTCCTCATCAACACAAATGCAGATTTGATATGCTAGCGAGATATGCTACTGCCATCTACTGATACTGTTTAACATCTACACCATTTTTTACACCAAGATTTATTTCAGTACAAATTACAACCATGACAAACTCTCTTTGCATGAATATATACAAAAAATACGATTTAGAGAGTGAGCAAAATGAATAGCAGCATCTCAAACATGAAGATTACAGTTTATGAAAACAAATCTCCAGTCAACTGTCATGCCACTTACCCAACAGACTTTGCATGATGCACACCTACATGGAATAGGTCACACAGAGATCAAATCAGATTTGAGCCAGAGCTGGTGTAAAATAAGGCTTTAGACTAGGGGGCAGTGGAGTGGGCTGTTTTGTTTCAAGCATGTGAAAGTCTTTCCTAGAAGTAAAACATATCTGGAAGAGAACTTTATCTTTTTCTCTTGGGCTCAAATTTATAGACAGCAGGGGCAGTGGCAGTCTCCTTCCGGACTTTCACTTTCTTGTTCTTGTCCTGTGAATTAAGGGGAGACATTTTAGAGCTTGCAAGAAAAAAAAAAATTCTCAATAACAAAGGGAAAAATATGAAAATTATATAAATTTTCTAAACAAATAATGTGCCATTATCAGTATCACTGTTAACCACACAATGCTGCACAATGTTAATGTGTGTGCTCACTTGAAGGTCTTTGCGAGTCTGGATCTTCTGAGTGATGACAAACATCTTCTTCTCTCTATCAATACGTTGACAGAGTTCGTCATACTGATGTCTCCGCTTCTTAGCCAGTCTCTATAGAGCATTGCAATTATGTATTAAACAAAAGACAAAATAATAATAATAATAATAATAATTTAGCATACACAAGTATAAAACATTTTCAGCCTTTGGGGACACAAGGGAAAATGAGTTAATACTACAAGAGGGCACAGAGCGCTCCTCAAAGAGTGCTGAATGCAACAAATATAAAAGTCTGGGAAGGAACTCTTAATATTAAGTTTAAAATAAAAATACAATTTCAAAATGAACCATCATATCAAACATTCTGCATTTTTCTTATTAAAACTTTCTTTTTTGTCACTGATGTGAAGCCACTCTTCGTGAAGTACCAAAAGCAACTAGAAAGTGCCTCCTTGTGGATGTCAGTTGTAAGCGAATGAATTACACGCCAGGAGCTTCGCATCTGTTAACAGTGTTCAGCAACTGCGCAGCGCATGATTTGGACAAGAAAGTGACAAGAAAAAGGCACAGACTGTTATGGTTTATCTCAACATAGTGAAGAGTAAAGATGTGTGACTGTTTAACAGAGCAAAGAGGTGATCTGTTCCAGCAGTGGCCTCTAAAAAGTACAATTATAAAATCAAATCTGCACACAAATTGAGCCATTACCAGGCATCTCATGTGAAATACAAAAACAACATATTTCTATCTAAGACTTGGAAAATAATGGTGAATGTAAGGCATACAAAAAACATAAAAGCAGCACAGACCTTGACTTTCATTGGCGCCACAGCTCCTAGAACGCTCTTGTTCACGAGAGTGTCCAGTGTAGGCCTGTTATAGGCTCTGTCCACCAACTCAGGCACTGTGTTCAGGTGTGTGGCCAGGTCAAAATCCTCCACTGAGTTAGAGACAAAGGCTGTATTAAGTCATATGTAAACTATAGAAAAAGTCAATGATTTAACAGAGAAGCTTTATGGATAATATGCTTTAGTTCTTTCAAAAGGGAGATTTATCATGGCTTTTAAAGGCTTAAATAATTGTCCCATTTTACTATGTTTTTGCCACCTGAGAAGCTACAGTAAAGTGATAAGTTTCTAATTGAGAAGACACTACGTATAATTATAAATGATAAGAAATCACTGTACTGTACACCGCGAGTCTCTTCTTAAATCTGTAAAAGTCTGTAAAACCGTCCCCAAGTGTCTGTCTTACCTTCTTTTTTGGTGTCCACAAAAAAGGTCTGTTTATTTTGTTGTTTACCATCTGCATCCAGAAGATGCAGCTCAGACTTTAGTCTTTCAATTCTCTGAAAAAAAATTTAAATTACTTAAAACTTAATAAATATATAGTGCACTAATAACTATACACGTTAATAACTGCTCTACCTTAGCCTCTGCCACCCTTTTCATTTCCACATATCTGATGTCCTGAGTCCTCATGATTTTCTTCTGTTCCTCAGTCATCTCTTCTTGTTTCTGTTTAATGACATGGACTCCATCCTAATAAGAGACACAATCAAACTAAATTAGAGGAATATTAATTTCACTATCAGATTCTTAAAGATTCTAAAAGTAGAGTATGCACAGGGGCATTCACATTTTAAACTAACATAGATTATACGACCTTAGACACTGTCAACCAATTATTGACGATAACACTATAAAACTTTAAGGGAAAACAACCAGATCAACAGCGACTGGCATTCAAACTTATCAGAAAGAGATGAAAGAAGCAGGGATGAATTACCAGAACATAGTTGGTACACAAATATAGGCTTACTACCAGAATCTCAGCAGCCTAATTTGTGTGAGACTCTAAGGCTGGAATTTAGATAAGCAGTCATCAAACACACATATACAGACACTGTGTGCTACACATAGATGTATCAAACACAATCATTCTGACACATCTATATAATAATGAAAGGATAGAAAGAGAGAGGGTGACCACTGTACATAGGAGACGACAAACCTGTAGTTGAGAATGTATCATTTTAAAGTAGAATTCATCTGGGTTCTTGTCCATCGCCTTCTTACGCAAGGCGTTAAGTGTTTTCTGTTTACGATGGTAGTCACTATATTGAAGATAAGCAGAGATGCATGATCAGTTGTTAACTGCAAATTGGTCAGAAGACCCATTAGTGAATCAGCTGTAATCATGTCACACAGACAGAAGCTACACAAAGCACAGACCCAAGTCTACGTGTCATTAACAGCTACATCTCTAATCCAACGTCTGAAAAATTAATACTGTCAAATAAAATTTGTTTTCAGAGAAATGCGTACTAAGCAAATAAATAACAAACAACTAACTACAAACCTACTTTAACACTATACAATAGGTTGTGTATTATAAACATTCATCAAACTGCCACAAAAAGACACATTAACGGCATGACAAAAATCTTCCTTACTCTGCGCGAAGTTTGTAGTCCTTCTTCTTCTCCAAGAGTCCTAAATGCTTCCTGAATCCCGGCTGGGAGGAAAAGACACACGACAAGTGTGGAGAGTTGATTCAGCAAGCTTAGTAACGTCCAGTAAACAGCAGCTTCAGATGTGGGTTTTGTGTTGAACCTGTCCTGAGCCTCGCTCACACTGAACCAGTGAGCAGCTCAACAAGCTCCCTAGTACTAGTTAGCGGCGCAAGCTAACATTACTGGATTTCCTAGCTTTGAAACTGTACTATATTAACCGATAACACCACCGTGTTTACACCTCTCTCAGCTAACTTCTGTGCTCTCTCACAGAAACAGGCTAGCTAGCTCGCTAACAGCCGGCTAACAAACTGAGCTGAGCAAAAAGAGCCGACTGCTACGGTCCCAAACTGACATTCACTCACCTGAGATCGCTCTTTGTGATCCCGCTGTTTGGATTTCAGAGCTTTTCTGAATGAAGACATGTTTGTCAGTAATTAGCACAGAGTCCTGTGTTTATTTCAGATGTCCAGCTCAGGGTGTGTACGGTTGCTGCAGACCGCCTCACACTCGCGTGTACTTCACTCACGTGGCTGCTGGTTTCCAACCGGTAGCTTTTGTTTCTCTCCAGCAGATTCGATAGTTTCCCTAAAACACGTCCTGTGAGTGATTTTAAAATATGAATAAAAGGGTAAATGTTTGTACTTATAACGCATATTAGTTTTCAATATTGTTACACGAGTTGTATCCTCAATGAAAAATACTTAATGTAAAAGAAATTAAGGATTTGTGAAGACACTGAAAATAGGTCTTATCTAAGATAACCCAACTGGAAATGGACCATTAGAAAGGCGAAACATATTCTTTACTAATTTTTATCATTAATTGAAATAGTATCAACACAAAATATTTACTATTCACGCTATATGATAGAAACTACTCATGTACAATAATACAGACGCTAAGCATAGGTTTACTTACATAATTTCAACAGCAGGGGGCGGTGTCCTCCATAGATAAACATCTGGAGACAGAAACTGTGCTTCCCTAAGCCTATCAAAGCGAGAGAGAGAGAGAGAGAGAGAGAGAGAGAGAGCACCACAGTACATTTACTTACTTGATTCACAGCTACCATCTATGGACAGTAAAACTGTATATTTAAAAATATAGTTTTTTCACCGTGACACATATTTGGATGTATTCCTGGTGTTGCTGGTGCTCTCTCTCCTCTCTCTCTCTCTCTCTCTCTCCCTCTCACCATCTGCACCTCTGCAGGACACTAACAATAAACCAGCACATTCACTTTATATGGCCATCTGATCAGCGGCATCCATCATTGGAATCTACTTTGTCGGCTGTGTTGCATAAACTGGAGCTTGGGGAACAGCTCTATAACAAACACAGGGTGTTGAGCCTCTCAGTTTATATGCCTTGGCTGCAGTGTTGACACTCTAAATGGCTTTGGTCACAATAATGAAGGCCTACATCTGCCAAAGAGATTGGTTAACACTAACAGATAATAAGTTTTGTGTTTCTAAAATGGCTTTTTTTTCTTCTTTGTCTTCTTTTTTTTCATATCCCATGGCCCAGACCCCCAAACATGACTTTCATCCAGGCTGACAGCTTGCATGTATCAATGAGAGAAACCTCAGAGACAAATCCCACTGACGACAGACACCTGTATGAATCATAGGGTCTTTACACTCATTTATTCCACCTCTGCTTCCTGGATTGAAGTGGAAAAACATGGGGAACGGCTATCTGATGTCAAAACACGTGAGCAAAGTACATGAGCAGAAATGTATACAACAGCCTTCCTTTTTTTTGCCCAAATAGTAATGAGCACGGATCAAAGTCGATCCTTCCCCGCATGTGAACCGTCTTCTTTATTGCATGTGAACGATTTCAGACACATTAAGAAGCTGTGAAAAAAACAGTGATTCTGCTCTTGCATTGTTTCATGGATAATTAGCTGTGATGATAAAATAATAATCCATATTATCACAAGATACTGCCATTCTCTTTAGTACCTCAAATGTCTCTGATAATAGACTGACCAACTGACAGAGAAAGACCAGAGCAGATAGAAACAAATGAAGGCAAAAGAAAGAGTATATACATCTCATCTATCAGCTTTCCTCTCTCTTTTCCAGACAAATGCTTCTCATAACTGCCAAGAAATTTCTTTATATGTGTGAGATTTGCACAGCATGCAGAATATTTTGTGGTGAAAGAAACCCTGAATAGGGTCACATTTTCCGTACTACATCTTACTGATTGACCTGGGGTTTGTGGGGTTTCCACTCTGAGGATCTGCCATACAGTTTAAGCAATCTTGTTGACTCCTAGAGTAACCAAACTGCAAAGATATATGTAAACAATATATTTGAAATTTGGCTGATGCCGTCATGGTCTTTCCAGCAGTGAGTACGGCTGGACGGTTTCAGCCAGGTTAAAGACAAGATAAACAAAGTGTTTAACAAGGGGCAAATGCTAAAATGACAGGGCATGGGGTCACTGGTTTGTGATGGTTTGGGGAGCTGGAATGCCTTCACTTGACAGATATATTAGTGTTTGGTTTCTTTAATACAAGCCTGTGAAAATAACCCAAGTGACATAATGCTGCTGGGCAGTAGCTGAGCTCAGGGTACTGGAATGTCTCCTTTGGCCACAGCAATGTTCCATCTGCCCCCTACCCAGAGGCTAAGACCATTATCATCATCAGGGGCCCAATCTCCCACATTCCCCCGTCCATGTCATAAGCTTCTGAGTAAGCTGCTCTCGTTCAATCTTCAGGTGCTTATGCTTCTCTTCACTCCTGAACAAGGATGTGATGGTGGTAAACTAACAAACCTGAAAGAATCTCTGATGTTCATCTAGTCTCACACACAAGCCGTCCATGAGACATGAGTAGTACAGGGTGATTGGGCCAACAGTTGCAGGGAATTCAGAGATTACAAAGAGAGAATGATGAAGAGATGACTCTGGGGGATTTTTCCTTTCAACAGGCAGTGTTTCCGTTAACTGATAAAAAATTGGTACTTTTGTGAAAACAACGAAGATTACACCACATCCCTTGAAAAGAGACTCTTTTCTAGGCACATCATTCTTGTCCTTATGAGCTACTATGTCCCAAGTAGAGGATTATACTTGATTTCAGGTACTATTTTTCACTGAGCAGATGGACTAGATTAACTGCTTTAACTGGTGGAGATTTGGTGTGTGTGTGTGTGTATATATATGTATATATACGATATGTGCACATATATAAATATATGTATATATATATATATATATATATATATATATATATATATATATATATAGGTACTGAGGTTGTTTACTGAACTTTTAAAGGTAAATAAATGGTTTAATTCAATTCACATGTACTGTATACATGTATAAATCAGTGCCTCATAGTTACTAGCAGCAATAAGAAATACAGACAATGTTCATGTAGTGGTAGTCTAATACAGAATAGCTAGCTGGCGACTATAAATACAGAATTTAAAAATCTAAAGGGTAACTACAATTCTATTAGTGTTGTACACAAAGCCAGTCAGGACAAGACACTAAGATATGGATGAACTGAGCCCATTTTCTTCTGATACAAGTGCTGTAAGTGTGAGGTGCAGAGTTACTATGAGGTAGAAGAACATGGCCTATACTAGAAAGGGCCATGAACAGAGATCATAGACCTCACAATTGTCTGTTGGGGTCATCAACAGGTCAAGTGTAGAATCTCAAGGGTCTGGCAGTATGGCCCAGATTCTGTCACACTTAGGTCTGAAGTATATGTGATGATACTGTGGGCTTTATTCATGTATCTGTTATTGTAAATATTCTGTATGTGTGGTGGTAAAGTTTAAGTGATGAATCAAGATGTTTTCATCACCCACTTTAGCACCTTGTCATCAAAGGTGATAAATCTGCCATACCACACTGCACTGCAGCTGGTCAGCATGCTTTAAAACTGTTCATTTGTAGATTTTTTGATGATCATCTGGGTAGACAGATTGAATTCCTTTGGACTTCCTAAGAACTGCAGGTGCTGTTGTGCCTTTCTGATGAGGTGGAAGTGGGTGAAGGTCCAGGAGGGCACCTCATTCATTTGTGCTTTAAAGAATCTGAAGCTGCTCATTCTTTCCACTTGATGATTAAAGAATCATATCCCCTATACACTCTTTGTCACTGAGAGATGGTTTTCCATGCCCCATTTAGCATAGAGTTTCATATCATTCTTATAGGCTGTTTTATTATTCCTGTCAATAAGGCTTACAACAGAAGCGTCATCAAGAAATGATGATGTAGCCTGAGTCATGCTGTAAAACTTATTCATGTAAAGCAGTTAGTTGGGTACAAAGCCCTGTAGGGTTCCAGTGTTGAAAGTGGGTGTGATGGAACTGTAGTTTCCTGAGTTCACCGACTGTGGTCTGCTAATAAGGAAGACCAAGATCCACTCACAAAATGTATTGATCTAGGCCGAGAAGAAAATGAAGAAAATGCAGGAAACATTACTGCTCCACCAGAAGGTCCTCGCCTGCCACCATCCTCTGGCCGGGCTCTGCTGCTGAGCCTCGCCATGCTGCTTCTTCCATCATTTTTGCCATCTGTCCTCAGTGTGCTGCTTCTTCTTCTGCAGTCTTTGATCAGGCTTGACCTTTTCCACCTTCTGCCCTGAGTTCATGGAAGCACCATCACTCTCCTAACCCACTCCTGGCATCAGCATAGCATCACTTCTCAGTGCTACTGAAATGGCTGAAATAGCAGGCAGGTCACTGCAAGCCATACATTTTCACCTGACGGTAGGCACTAACACTGCACCAATTAATCCAGCACAGAATGATATGTTCAGCACATACATACACTTTAGACTAACAGCAACAATTTATTTGCAGTAAATGTCTCTCCTACTGTGAATGCAGCACTTCCCAAAAGCCTTCTTGCATGGCTGTTCTGCATGGCCACACCTCCTGCACTCCCATGGCAGTGTGAACCATTAGCACGATGCTACGCTATTATGTCTTAAACAGCTCTCCAGGTATGCCACTCCACCCACTCGCATCTAGCATTAACCTAAATGTTTACCTAAGATTGCCTATTTAAGAGTCATGGGTGTAGTTATTCCCCTGAACTCAGGTCACATAGAAGAGGTCAGTGAATATGGTAACCAGTTGATTACAGCTCAGGGCATTCATGTGATATGCTATCAGCCAGGTCAGCTATATAAGTGTCCACTCTCATCAGAGTTCTCACGTCATCTGTGGATACTAAGAACACCTTAATTTTTTATTGTACCCCTTTTTGTAGCTTTCAAAACAAACATTAAAGATGTTGAGCACTTTTGGCATGGAAGCATTAGTGTTAGTCTCATAGTTAGTTTTGCTCTTGTTGACAGTGACGCCTATTTACTTTGCCATTTGTATTATAAGTCTGCTGAAATAATTATGTACACTCTTAGGAAAAAGGTAGGAAACTGTCACTGGGGTGGTACCCTCAAGGGCACATCATATCAGTACCTTTAGCCAGGGAGCATAATTGTACCATAATCCATTGACACTGTATTTTCTAAGTTGTATTGACTCCACACACCCTGTCTTGTCTCCAGGCTTTTATTTTAATGTTCTGTTTTAAAACATTAGATTATGAAAAGGTACAAATATGTATTTTTTCACCTGGGAAAAGGTACACAATTGGACCCTAAAACCACTGCTGTACCTTTGAGGAAACATTTACATGGCTTCTACCTTAATGAACGGAAAATGATGGCTGATCTGTTCTTTCTGATCTGAAAGCTGTCTCACAGGTTGTCAGCAAAAGGTGAACCTCAATATATATCCTCAGTTTCTAGTTATTTCTCATGTCTTACTTTAGGTCACTGCATTATTGACACATTACCTAATGCAGTCTACCACTGTGGGCGCATATTCTTTCACATTTAAATGTGACTCTTGAGTTACTGCTAGTTTGAACATGAAGAGCTAGCTGTTAATTGGCTAAAACATCTAAGGCATGTGCTTTTTACAACCTTTCAATCAAGGAGAGAAGTGTGAGGCCTTATCAACCGATGATCAAGAATATTCAACATCCAACTTTGTCACACTGAAATACACTACAGTGGCCACATTATATTTCAGTGTGACTTGCTGTATTTTGTGTATGTGAACAGAGAAAACTTGTGTGAAGGTACTGGTCTATGTGTTCTGGGAATGCAATAAGGGAACTTATCCTTTCCCCACCATCTCATGATGAACAAGACAACATTTGTCCTCTAATTTGTAGTGTAGGCCTATGAAGGCCACACCACAGTGTGTAAAATTAGAGTTTATAATTTGGAGAGTGAGAGAGGGTGAAGGAAGGGCAGAATGAAGCCATGCACACACAAACACACACACGCATGTGTCACAGTAATCGTTGACTGAAAATAATAAACTCATAATTCAAGTGAGTTTTGTGTAGACAAAGAGATTATTCAGATTTCTAAATATGTTTAACTCTGTTTATTGTTTCATACAAGACACTCCATGTAAACAGTTTAAATTGCAACAATCTATCCATTAGTTACACAGTATGACACAGCCCGGTTTTGTGGTCATGGATTAATGGTAGCTTATAACTAAACTGTAACGTCAGTGGTGATTTACCAATGAAAATCCTTATTAGTCTAGACTTAGGATTTTGGTCTGGGAAACCAAGACCGGGTTCTTGAGGCTTAATATTATGCAGTAGTTTTTGAGTCATATGCCACTCTTTAAGCAGCCCATTAGGAGTTTTCTTTTGCTATCCCATGGGTCAAATAAAACATCAAGCTTCATAATCATTTAATAACACTAGCAGTGGGAACATAACGGTCATCACTAAAGAGCAGGGACAAAGTAGCTCTTGTGGTTTTCCGTAAGAACTGAATGAACTGAGCAAGGACATCCAGCTCATTCCCTGCCAGACTTGCCAGCTTAAAAAGGCACAAAAGGCTTTAAAATCTTTGATTTCCCAGTTCTTTGGACCACCATTCTCTCAAGTCAAGTGAATGTATTTGTTTCCTTGATGAAAATAAAACAAAAAATAAATAAATAAAAAACAGCACAGACCAGCATGCATTTCATGCTGATTCAGCTGGTCTCCCCAGCATGGTCATGGTCAAAACACATGGTTGTGGTGGTGATCAGCTTATCAACTTCCATTGCTGCTGACCAGCATACCAGCATCCAAAACACAACATATGCTGGTCTATGCTGGTTTCTCAGGAGGGTTGTCCTTCTTGAAGTTACAGAATGGTAAGCCGTTTTTACTGTCATGGCGGAATCACCCACCATAGCGGGGGCTGTTAGCAGGTAGGCCACTTTAGAGTGGCCTTTCGCTCAATTTAATTGCTCGAAAAAATCTCTAGGCTGTTGAAATATATCAGGCTAAATTTAATCACGATTTGCTGATTCAGTTCCTAAAACTTTTCATTGTACGTCTGTTGCTGGGGGAAGAAAGAGATTTTTTTCCTTCTTCAACTGGGGCGGGAACTTGTGACTCACTAACTTCCTTGCTAAGCGCATGGAGCTGAGGACACGGATCACTCTCCGTCTGTCTGGGCAGAAAACACAGCGGCTCACTCCTGCAGGCTGCGGCCGAGAAAGCAAGACGGGAATAGGCACTGAAGGACGACCAAACACAGCTCCTTTTGAATATCCGAGAGCAAAGCGGCAACAGGGAAGCCGTGACAGACAGTATCTAGGCAGCTTTTCTAGGTAAGCGCGATGACTTTTTTCCTCCCCTCAGATCTCTCTGTCTCTTCACCTGGGCTCACCGAGTCAGGCGTCTGATCACAGTGTATTCTGTTCATCACTCGGTAACCGGAGGCGGTTGTACATCTTTACCTCGTATCTCTGGAGACTTTGTGATATACAGACTAGTTTGGATTGCTTAGTTAATGAGTAATAACGGTGTGGTCCATTTCACTGCTACAAGTCTTCTGTTTTCTTTGTTTTCTTTCTTTTTTTCTTTTTTGTTTATGCTGTTCCTTTGGAAAATTATTGCCCAGTTTATGTTCTTTTTGTAGACTATGTCAGTCCAGCTGAGAAGACACATAAACCTTTCCTTCTTTTCCTTCACTTACAGAAAATAGTCTTGTCTTTTGATCAACAACAAAGTTGACACACAGAATGTATTCATTAGTCTAATTGTTGTTGCACCCTAAGAATGTTTATAGGATTCACTAATGAACCAGAGGCCTGACTCAGCTCTATGATATAATACTATTCTAATGATATTCTGTTCATAATCATTTAAAGATTGAGATTTCACAATGTAGGGGTGCCTGCTGTTGAATGTTTTAAGTTTTTTTGAGTTGTGTCAGAGGAAAGTCCAAGTCAGAACTTGACTGCTGACTTCTGGAATATACCACATTCTATGATGCAACTTCTCTCCACCCCATTGTAAATAATGATCATGTGCGCCTATTTTAAGGCCGCACAAAAAGGAAGTGGAACCATCATCCATATTGATTTATCAAGACACACCTGGAATTGAGCAGGTATTAATGACTGACTTATGAGTCATGAAGATCAGTAGTCTGCACATTAGTTAATCACATTTCCTGCAGTATAACTCACAGTACCAGTCTGCAGTGTGAAGAATTTAACAATGCTAATGATTTCACTTTATCCAGGCTCTTTGTGCCTGTACACAGAAGGAAAGAGTAAACGCGTTAAGACTGAGGGAACATAAAGAAGAGAGAAACTGTAAGGGCCTAAATGTCTCATCAATAACCGTAAAAGGAATTGATGGTTTTGGACAGATGGAGCCAACACAGGAAAAGCAACTGTGTGCTCTGGGCTTGTTTTCACTCTCTGTCCAGTCTCTCATGCATAGCCACTGTTCAGGGGCATCCTGTGCACATCACAGCTGGCCAGACAGTTTTAGCGTACCCCCAGTGAACACATTCAAAGGGCGGTTCTACTGGTTTGTGACAGGGCACTCCTCTAAGAGGCACGTTTTAAGTGTATTCAATAAAACTCTAAAGAACCTTAAGACAGATTACATTCCTATCCTTTGCCAACCTCTTTCGAGTCCATTCATTACTCTGAAAAGAAGGAGTTCAGAAGTAATTGTTGGAAAGCTACTTTAAATCATCCCTTTGAAACTGAGTCAAGTTCTAGCCCTCTCATATACGTGGCACAAAATTCCTGAGCCATCAGTGTACTTCACACACACAGAATGCCTGGTTTCACAAAGACTGTAGACTTTGTATTCCCACCCAAGATCCTGTTTGCAAAAAAGTAGTCTTTTAAAGCTGGTTTTCTCTCCTTTTGATTGAGGTGTTGGAGTCAGGACCTGATTGTGTATGCTATGTGGAATATTCAGTTGGATATGAACAGTAGTAAGTATGGAATGTATGAGTAGTAAAGTGTGGTTGCCTGTGAGTTGGGAATGGAGTTATTTCCTATTCTGGTACTGTAGGCATGTGGCCAGCCATGTGACTAGCCATTAGCTAGTATGTGACGAACAAGTGTACTAGGGCGTGCAAGGCAGTGACAAAGATGGCATCTGAACGATCCTGTGCATAGTAATGGTGTAATTATTCCCCATCACTACATACATAAAATTTGAATATACTACTTAATGCACCAGTGGTTGGATAGTAACTCATCAGTCCATAAACTGACTTCCAGATTTGAACTACGATAGTGTCTCTTTTTTCTGACTGTTCATGGCAAGGCTTTCTTCCCAAGGATAGCACAGTGTCTGACATTTTCTGTGGTGCAAGCTGTTTTAACACTCTGTTCTTTTAATGATGGACCTTTTGTTAAATCCTCTGTGCTGGGGTAATGAGTCAAAAAGTCTATAAAATCTCCATCCCGCCATCCCCCATGTAATTTCAGTGTCTGGTATTTGAGTCCTGACAGAAGTTGAGGGAGGTTGAAAATGCATCTGTTTGCATTTTCTCTCTCTCCCTCTTCTGTGCAGTGTCAAGGCTATGAGACTCCGGTGAGCCTTGACCATGGTCACATTCTTTTAGAGCAGCCTGTTTTTCTAAGGTTAGCCGCTCTCAAGCACTGTACTGCTGCCATCTGTCGTGTGACTCTAAAGAGAGAGCAGAGTTATACATGGAGGCTTTTCCTTTTTTATTTGCCCTGATTTCATTGAATAAGAGAGTCTAGTCTTGATGGGTGGTGAGGAGTTGAGTTTCATTGGCCCCTGTTTCTGATGAAGATGACAAGCTGTTGAACATGTTGCTCGTTGTTATTCTGTTTACATGGAGCGTGGTTGTCTTTTTTTGTGAATTCCACAGTAAATCATTGCAAACCCCAACTTGTTACTAGGAATGAGTTGGCTCAGACTTCAGGCGGTTGTGAAAAACAGTGCTCAAATGACAACTAACATCTGTGCGTCCTCTGACCATCAAGCTTTCAGATCATCAGAAATGATTTTGCTTGTATACTCTTCATTGGTTTTCTGTCGTTTGTGCCTTAGAAGGTGAATACAACTACTTCTGCAGAGGATGTGTGAACGTTGAGTGTGCTGCTAAGTGTGCTGGCTAGATCTACATAAAAACAGGTTGTTTTATCTTTTGTAGTCCACCGCTTCATTTCCTCGTTTGTATCCCCCCCACTCACTTGAGTGAAATAGCATGGGGGGCACGTGTCTGGTGGCTGAAGGCCTGGTGCAGTTGTGAATGGTGGGAAGTGACCTCAGGTTTCCTGCGTTGGGCTCCAGGTGCTGCGACGCTGCTCCGAGCGGCTGGTGGCTTCCTCCCTGGCTGAGGGAGAATGAATGGCTGAAATCAGATCCTTTTCAGCAGGGCCCCCTGGGAGGCAGTGTGCTGCTCAGCCTCAGTCACCGCTCTCCTGTTTGTTTATTCTTTCTCTCCCTTCCTCTTGCTCGCCTTGGTGTCCACATGGACATTGGGTCGTTACAAGTTGTGTCGCTTCCCTTCTGGTTTGAGCCAGTTCTTTTGTTTTTGACTAACTCTTTGCAGTTGCACACATTTGTTTATGCAAGTCTTTCAAACGTACCGTGAAGTGCTCTAAACTTCATGAAATTAATTAGTGTGGTTGTGTGCAACAGGGCTATGCAATATGGTGCAATATCAAGGCACTTACAGTGAATTTTATTCAGTGTTTCACAAATAACTGCTGCACAGAATGCAGTTAAACAGGGCTTATTATCCTCTCTTTGTAATAAAACATGCAGATTTTCAGTGTTTTTTACATACTGATGATATTTATGATTAGGGCTGTATGATAAATCAAATTTTTATTGATGTTGCGATATGAGTTTTTGCAGTAAACACTTTGTTAGAGTAGAGGTGGCAGAACAGATTGTTTGAAGCCTAATGAGTGTTTCTTTGCGGTGGGATTGAATCCTGCTATCCCATGTGGGGGACGAGTAACAGCTTAACCACTAAGTCAGTTCCCACACTCAGTATTGTTTTAAGTGTGCGAGGCAGTAATGGCTACTGCCGCAACAAACTAAGCAAAAATGAAGAAATAAATAAATTGAATTATGTATTCATTCTTGTGTGTCTATTTAAAAAAATAAATATATATTTATTAGTTTTTATAGCCTTTACGGAAAAGCTGTTGAGGTAATGCTGACTGTGCCTTTCAGTGCACAAAATAATGTGCTTGCACTTCTGATGCAAGTAGCTATTAGTATTTCATTTTCTTTTAATTTTGCAGAATAGTGAATGGTACTTTTGTATTTTGCTATTTATATTATTATTTTAAAGGAGAAAAGGAGAGGTTAGTTAGATTTCTGTTCACACATTTAAAAAAGTTTGTATTTGTGTTGTATTCAGTCATTTGCACACTATTTTTATAATTTATCACTTTACTTATCGTTATCATAATATCAGACAACTTTATCAAACATTACATTTAAAGGCATAATGTACAGCACTATTTATGATGCAACGAAACAGCATATTGTTTATCACAATAGCAAAATTTATCACGATAACAATAAAATCTTGTCACATTACCACCTCTGTGTAGGATACAGGATGCACATTTAGCAATAAATAAGTGAAACCAAAGTGATTATGTCAAGAACTGTAGGATGTATTCTTGATAGGTGAAGCCAGGCATCTGTGCCTACTGCCCCACTCACCACCAACTAATACAGACAATATTGCATCTACATTGCTATAAAGATGATGCAGTGCATATAATCTGTTCTCAGAGTTCATTTATAGTTTATTTTTGCTTGGACCCTGATTAGTTAAATTCAAATCAACCAAGAATTAAAATAATCATATCTCTAGAATGGATAAGAAAAAAGTCCAGTCATTTGAACATGAGCGCTCAAAGCCCCTCCTGTCCCCCTTTATTCTGATCAGATGCACTCAGGTAGTGGCCTCCATGAAAGATGGTAAATGAGAGACCCTCAAAAGAGACTTAGGTTATAGAAGTATGTAATAAAACTTTGGATCTGCTGATGGGTCCTGGCCATGTAAGAGGTTAATACAGCAATAGGCTAGTAGATAGTAAAAAAAGTGTGCCCCCCATTTTGCAGTCCATGCTATATGTGGCAGTAGACTTTTAAGTCTGTATTGTAGTCTGACCACTGAACACATGGCTGTATCTTTAGCAGCAGCTGTTACAGCATACATTTAACATCCATTGATATCTCAGTCACCCACCCACAGCCCACGTCCAGGCCCTGATTCGCCTTGCTGGTCCTAGAAACCTAAAGGGGATTGATTGGATCAATAAGATGTGCAGTCACCCAAAGTGAGACAAATTTT